AGGTTGAAGAACGAATTCGATGCTGTCATCCATGTCAACTTGTCAGTAAGAGCCCGCGACCAGAGCCAATGGAACCAACAAAGCTTCCTAAGAAACTATGGCCGAAGCTAGCCATAGATGTATGTGGACCATTTCCCACTGGAGAACAAGTAGTTGTCCTTACTGACTATTATTCACGCTGGCCAGAAGTCAAAATGTTAAAATCAGTCACGTCCAAAAACATTCTCGACTGGTTACTATCGGTATTTGCAACGCACGGATTTCCCGATGAAATAAAGTCCGACAACGCATCGATCTACTTTGTTTCTACCGAGTTCAAGGATACATTAACTTCTTGGGGAATAGAACATAAGACGGTGACGGAATATTGGCCGCAAGCCAATGGGCAAGTTGAGAGATTCAATCAAGTTCTCGAGAAACACATCCTAACCGCACAGGCGGAAGGAAAAGAGTGGAAACCCACCATTCCAATCATGCTACTCCACTACAGCAACTCAAACAGAAACCAACCAGAGTACTACAGAGGCGGAAATTGTTCTACGTAGATCAACGAGAAATAGAAAACAACCAGACTATCTAAAAGTAGGTTAAGTTAGTCAGGTTTAAAATGCAGACTGTTGACATTTATTTAGTTTTAAAGGACACGGTAATGGAACCCCCGTAATAGTAATTCCAAGACACTAAGTCTTAGAACGGAACTACAAAGTAAAGAAGTAAAGAACTACATAGAATTAGAGACTATTAGAAACTTAAAAGGTTGATATTATTATAACTATAAGTAAGGAAGGGATGTTTGTATCCTAATGCTGATTGGTCATCTGTAAGTGATTGACATATAAGATTAGGTCACGAGACATTAGATTAGATTAGGAGACACTAAGCCAGAGAGCAAGCATACATGTATAATATAGCAAAGTAACTATATGTTATAAAAGTTGAATAACAGAGGATATAAAAGTGACACAAATCAAAGATTGGTGGGATGCATTGAATACTCTTGGTCCAAACCTGGGATATTTTCCGAAAGACGAGAAATGCTGAATTATTGTTAAGCCCGAAAAGGAAGAAAGTGTGAGAGAAGCCTTTCATGGAACAGCTATCAATGTAACAGTGCATGGGCAGAAACATCTGGGAGCAGCGCTAGGTTCACGAGAGTATCTGGAGGAATATGTTAATGAGAAGGTCTCTGATTGGGTCAACGAAGTGAAAAAATTAGCCGAATTTGCGCTGCATGTCTCAACCATAAGCGTCCTATGCCGCATACACATTTGGTTTGAAACATCGGTGGACCTACTTCCTAAGAACCCTGCCAGACATCCAGGACCTACTAGAGCAACTCGAGAAGGCAATATCGCAGATTCTCATCCCTGCTATCACAGATCACCAGTGCAATCCACTCGATCGGGACATTCTAGCACTTTCAGCACGTCTGGATGGCCTGGGCTTGGAAAATCCAAGTCATCTGGCAGAACGTGAGTATGCGTTGTCTAAAAGAGTGACAGCACCCCTTGTTGATCAGATTGTAGCACAGTTACATCAGCTACCCGACGAGTCGCATATAAAATCAGCGCAACAAGCCGTTAGAAAAGAAAGAGTTCAAGAATGTGAGGACAGGGCAGAACGTATTAGAGAGAGTACACCTCCAAGAATTCAGCGTATATTAGATGTGGCTTCGGAAAAAGGATCATCTGTGTGGCTCACAGCACTTCCCCTAAAAGAACACGAATTCAACTTGAATAAGAGAGAATTTCGGGACGCCGTAAAACTGCGCTATGATTGACCAATCGACGACATCCCCTCCATATGTGTATGTGGGGATACCTTCACGGTTGACCATGCCATGATCTGCAAACGTGGAGACTTTGTAATTATGTGCCATAATGAATTAAGAGATCTGGAAGCGGAACTCCTCAACATTGTCTGTAGTGACGTCCAAGTTGAGCCTGTCCTACAAGACATTTCGGGAGAGCAACTAAATGGAGGTTCCAACAGAGCACTTGTTGCTAGACTCGACATTGTTGCGCGTGGGTTCTGGGAAAGTCAACGATCAGCCTTTTTTGATGTAAGGGTTTGTCACCCCAATGCTGATTCGTACAAGGACCTGGAGCTACGCCAAGTCTACAAGATACACGAAAACGAGAAGAAGCGCCTCTATGCAAGGAGAGTCCTCGAAATAGAGCAAGGAACATTTACGCCACTCGTATTAACCATGCACTACAGGCGGTATGGGCAAAGAATGTGTGAGATACAGGGCTGCAAATTACTGTCGGACATCGGACAATGTCCGACTAAATTTGGCAAATGTCCGAGCAAAAGTAATTTTGATCGGACATTGGTCCGATCGCCATAAAATGTCACATTATACATTTTTTTGCTGTGACAAAATCCGATTGCCAATTCACTCAATTTGCATTTTGCAATAAAATTTACGCGGCGTTCTAGCATTTAATTTTACTTAACGTTGCGCCGGAATGGCATATACATACTTGTCTCGTGACTTATATATATATCTTGTGACGTATATGTGTCCGATCAAATTTAGTGATGTTGGTTTTTGTCCGACCAAATTCAAGTTATGTCCGACCAAAATTTAAAGTGATCGGACAAATGTCCTGTCAAGTCAAATATTTATTTGCAGCCCTGGAGATACCATAGTCGATTGGTAGCCATAAAGAAAGGCGAAGATTATGCGACAACTATGAGTTGGATAAGAGCCAGAACCTCATTCGCTTTATTTAGTTTATTGAGATCGGCACTTACCTGCTTGAGGGGTTCAAGGGCAAGGAAAATCATGTATGATATTAAGAACATTGATTTCAACATTGAGAACGCCTATAGTGCCATCTCTCAAGCATCTTAGATTGTACATATACAAAGTTTAGTTGTTTAGTTATTTAGCGGAATATGTTAGTTCAGTTATTTAGCTACTTAGCGGTAAAGATTTTAGTTATTTGACGGTATATGTTCCAGAGTTTGTTTTTTAAATTTAAATTACACATCAACAAACATTTAGATACTTTAATTACACCCAAAGGACAGATTATTTAATATAGTCATTGATAACAAAAAGCATTATTGTATATATTGAAATGGTGAATAAAGTTGTATTATTTAAAAAAAATATTATATTATTGTTATTGTTATTATTATTGTTATTATTGTTATTATTATTCATTTATATAGCGCCATTTCCCATAGTTCAATAGCGCTTAACATTTAGTGTTAAAATATATATACTAATGTTAGAACATAATACATGCATTAACTAAGTTTTCTTCGCGATAAACCCAACCTTTCCCAACTCTACATCAATGGTGCTCCAATTGACACTGTCGATAGCGTTAAAGTTCTTGGAATTTCTCTTCAGAATGACTTGAAATGGAAAAGTCATGTTGACAATATTACAAAGAAAGCTGCTAAACGGTTATATATCATACGTGTCTTAAAGCGTAATGGACTTCCTGTTGATGATCTAATAACAATCTTCAAAACATTAGTCAGATCAATCCTACAATATGGTTGCCCAGTCTGGCCACTCGAGTCTTCCGACGTACTTGTCTGATAAAATTGAGAAAATTCAACGAAGAGCTTTCCGAATTATATATCCGTTTCAATCGTATAATGATGCACT